ATTATTATTATTATTATTATTATTATTATTATTATTATTATTATTATTATTATTATTATTATTATTATTATTATTATTATTATTATTATTATTATAGATATACTCTATAGCTATATACTTAAGAAGATATAAAGACTTAATAAGATATAGTTATAAAGAGAAGGGAGTTTTCTCTCTTAGGTTTCTTCTTATATAGTAGCTTAGACTAGAGAAGATATATATCTATAGAGTACTACTCTATCTAGTTATATAATAATAATAATATTATTATACTTATAAAGACTATATTAGTATATAAGTACTTATTTACATTTCTATATATTCTCGTAGACTAGTAATCTATTAAGTACATTTAATAGACTAAACTATACCTTTTATACTACAGGACATAGGAGGGGATAATTGCCCACCCAAATGACGAAAAGCGGTAATACCAGGCAGGGATTCGGGTCATCATAGGGCCTAGTCGTCTGGAACGACACATTCGTCGTCCAGAGACCCGTTCGGAGAAGTTATAGCACCATGGCAGTCTCCATCTCGATTGGGTAGTGCTCCACTGGAAGTTTGTTGTGCGCTACTCTTGCGATGCCTGCTTACCACACCTGGAAACATGCGTGGCTCAGTGCCGTCCAAACGAGACGGGACAGGCATACCGATGTCCGATGATAGCGTGGGTAAGACCACTGTCGATGAACGATCAAGGCGGTTGTGCTGATAGGTAGCGCTCTGTGGAGACTTCGGCGAGTTTGTAGTATTGTGAACTTCAGCCAAAGGTATAGTATGATTCATGCGTGCAGCTTGCACCTGGGCAAGGGGAGCATTGTATGAGCTTGGGGGTAGATTGACGAATTGTGATAGTGAACTATCAGCCGGGACATTTGCGGAAGGATTGTTATGCATCGAGATAGTGGGTGATTGTGGCGTCTGGCTGAGAGGAGGGGACTGAGGTAGCGCGGCTGCTGTGAGGGTGTCGCTCTTGTGTATGCTGTATCGATTGATCCTAGAACGAGTCAGCTGACATCTCAAGCGATTCTGTGAAGATTATGGCCATTTGTGGTAGCACATACATCGCAAACTCCTGCATCAAAGTTTCGTGCCGGTAGGCTTCGCGTATCTGAGGGACATTCACTTTCGCAACATCATTACCAAGTACCCCTGGAAGATGATAGTTGCTGCCCAACCAGCGTTGCTTGATGATGTGCTCAAAACCACTCTGTTCAACTGAGTGCTTTGCCAACTCGCACATATCAACAGCACTCAACTTATAGATCTGGGCTGCGACGGAGTATTCTTCGATCAAAGGCTCCTTCGTGAAAGCGAACTGAAGAGGGTCATCCGTAGATAGAGACACGTTGAGTCCCCTTTTGAAGTATGAGTGAAAAGGATTCCTTTCATACGCAAGGAATAGAGCATTGTTACTGAGGGGAGACATGGCGATCCCAATTTGATCCAGATAGAATATGTATTGCAAAAAAGGTACTTTTCTGAGCAGAAGGCCATGGCTGATGCTATGACAGCATATGGTAGCTGCTGCCAAATGGTCTGTATCGCCAGCTTCTCCACAGTGCGGTCGTAACAGGAAAGTATTGAACCCTCTCTGCTTCCGCCAAACATTGAGCGATGCGATATTCGCGAAAAGGAAATAGATCCAATAACTGTATGGTGGATTCTGGCTGGTATTCCACTCTGATGGCGCTGGAAACTTCTTGTAAAGTCGACGCTCAGGTTTGCTTTCATCGTCAACACTGTCGAAGCCGATTACACGCTGCAGGAATATATGTAGTTTAGGGTGACTTTCTGGCTCCTTGGTGACTTCGAAGAGAGGCTTAAAGATGTTCACAATGACTTGTTGGAAGTCCTCCATCAATCTAGTCGATTTGTACACGTCGTAGAGCCGCGGGATTTGTATCAGCCAACGCACATTGGGGGAGAACAACTTGTTATCGACAACCCAAGCCGCAAGCTTGTCCCACTCGTCTGGCGCACGGCCGTAGATTGAAATGCGCCATTCAACCATCTGATACTTACTTGCCTCCAAATCTGATATGACCTCCTTGGTGATCTCGGCGAGATAACGTCCTTTGATCAGATTATCCGTTTTTAGGAAGATGGTACGCAGACGTGATTCACCAATAGGGTTGTACTTAAGATTGAATTTATCAAAACGGTGGAAGCTGTCCGTATGTGCCTGCTGAGTTTAGCAATATAACGCGTCTTAGCGAGTGAACGGCAACATACATGCATGTCCAAAGTATCAATGCTAAGATCATACGCAGTCAAGTTTATACTTTCAAACACTTCTTTGAGAGTGAGGTGCTTCCCGTCTCTGTGTAGCACGATCTCATCTGGAGATTTCTTCATTTTTGATTTAATAAAGCGAAGCAGATGTTTCTGATTCATGCAAGCGGAGTGATGGACATGGGTATCAACTTTTCGGACGTTATAAAAGTCTCTGTGTGGTACTTTCTTGCTGTCTGCAACCTCCTGATATTCGTTCACGAGCGAGTATAAGTGAAATTTGCCTTCCAGGTACGAAAGGCGACGATAAGCGTAGCTTTTGTTCGCGCCCTCAGAGGATATATGCAGAATTTGATCGAGATCCATGTAGTATTCGCGCAAAGTTGGTATGTGTATGATTGGGCTATCGAGTTCTGCTGACTTCGAATTCTCGTATACTTGGTAGACGCTGCCTGCATCCATACGGAACATCATCTCTGATGGGCCTGGAAATGGCTTGCAGTCTTCTAATTCGAAATCTTCACCAATGTCAAAGCCTATTTTTCTTGAAGGCTTTGACTTCTGTGGCTCGTCTAGACTCACGCTGTTCGACATGCTATTCAACGCATTGGTTCCCGACCGTCCTTTGACACCATCCCACACGGGTTCTGGGTGGGGTGGATAGATTTGCCAACCTGGGTCATCCTTTGGATTGTCGAATGAGCGCTGTAGAGACAATCTCATGTACTTATGACGGAGATCAAGGACTTGCTGAATGTTCGTGAACACTTGACTCAATTCGGCAGTAACAGTGGAGTCATCACTGGCGAAGCCCAAGGGACCATTGCCGATACCTACACCAGCACCTGCGCCGTGGATACCCTCAGTGCCCAGCATTAGCTTGTGCTCGTGAGGGAGTGCTGAATGATGAGCATGGTCGCGAGCGTGGGCTTCTACACGTATCGATGGTCCATTCTCGTGCCATAGCGAACGTCCAGAAGGGCCGTCAAGAGTGGAATCGACACCACCTGCTTGAACATCGATACCGAATCGGTCACTCCTGGCAACGTCTAACGGCAATGCAGATCTATAATTCGAGACACTATGTGCTAAGCTTTGTGTGCTTGGCTGAGATCTGAGGCTGTCTGCATGACCGTGATCATCGCCACAATTAGCTGGGAACGTCTTTGCGCGAATGACGGGACTCGTCCCGTCTTGCGACCAAGCACTACCACCTGTATATTGACTTTCCAGTCGATGACGCTGATAGAAGAGCTTTGCTTCGGCATGTCCCACCTGTTTCTCTGACATGTGATCATATAGGGCAGTTTTGAATCGTTTGTCGCGAGGTAGCAAAATTGTCTTGGAATGTTCGTCTACTATGGATCCAGATTCATCGTCATCCGGTTTTGCAGCTCTTACGTCATCCTCAAGAGTACCATGATCAAAGTAGCGGTCGCTGTCGTATGCCTGAGACCCGCTGTGAGCAGTAGATTCATAGCGGTCAAGGTCATCGTCGAAGAGAGGGCCGTCGTCGATAGCGCTGTTTGCCCGTTGGAGATGCGGCGAGTCGTCGGCTGAGAGCACACCAGACACTGAATCTGTATCTTAGGGTTGCAATGCGAGAATGACCATTAAACTCACCTGGAATCTGGTCTAGAGGCATTGAGTACGTTAGTAAAGTGCTCACGATATTAATAACCACGATGTTGCTGCTCACGAAGAACTTCGGGGTAAAGTAACGGTCTAGGCGGCGGGTAATCTTAGATGGCCCATTCTCTCTAGCCGTGTGCGGCTAGGTACAGCTCGCTATATATACTTCGATCTCGCTATTATAATATATATAATAGTAATAATCTTAGTATAGTAATAGGTCTTCTCTACCTTAGTAAATAAAACTATAATTATATATATTCTTTATAAAATTATAATATTTTATAAATTAACTCTTTTATAATTATTAGTTCTAATTAATAATAGTAAAAGATAGAGATATTAGATATTAGTAAAATAATAAGAAAGACTTTCTTTAATTACTACTATTATCTTAGATAGACCTTAAAAGGTTACTCTCTACTCTATATAAGAGTTTTAAGTTAATTATTATTATTATTCTATAGAAGTTTTTATATTAAGTCTCTTAAATATTATAATATTATATACTATAAGCTATAATCGTAGTAACTAATTAATAAGCTATATGCCCTAGATGTCTAAAGGACCCTATATACTATTAGAACATACGGAGCAGAGACCGATGGGGCAAGTGGGGCAAGTAGCTGTTGCCTATTCCTTGCGACCAATTATCGTTAGCCACATGATGTATGCGTGAGATTTCCGTTAGTCATCGCAGCTTCATATACCTGATTGCGGACGCGTCTTAGAATTGTTATCATTCCTCCTTTGGCCAAGTTCTCCCAACTCGTATTATCAAATCTGCTAGTACTAACTCTCTCTCCTCCCTCCGAGTAATGTGCACATACGGTAGAACATTAGCTGTTTACGAAGCATGTCAAAGGCTACCTCAGCATAAGGAGGAGACTCGTCCGAGGCATCGTTGCGCGACCTCGCCAAAGCCAGGAGCTCCATGTCCGGAACCTGAACACGATCCCACCAAGGACATATTACATTCCCAGCGACGAGGGCCCTGTCACGCCTGTCGTGATTCTGGAAGTACTGTGGAAATTTGGCATGTTAAGTGGGCAAGTTTTGCTAACTTCTACTTCAAATCTCTAGGAACAAATGTCGAGTAGGTGGATGTACACGGCTCATGAAATTGGAATCGGTACCTCAATAGAACTATCCAACCCGTTTCTTTTGCGGCGAAATATCTTGCATCTCTTTCTCTAAGGTTTCGATAATACAGTCCATTGATTCAATCTCGCCACGCCAGCATTTCTGCATTAAAACACTTAGTGGTAAATTGTTAGTCTCGGGAAATCTCCCGCGTGCGTAGAGTTGTCCGACAATTTGACCAGCTCCTTCCATATACATGTACTCCGAATACGGCGGCTTACCCACAACTATCTCGTAGATTATACAGCCAAACGCAAATATGTCTGTAGCGCGACTGGTTTGGGGCTGAGCCGGTTTATAACTAAACCATTCATAGCAAGAACCGGCTGAGTCACCATTAAGGCTACAACCTTCAAAATCAATTAACTTGACGCCCTCACTGGTTAATATCAAATTATTACATCCCACATCGCAATGGACAATTCCGCAATCGTGAACATGTCTATAACCGGCCGCGGCGCGAATCAGCCACTCAAGCTTCGTGCTCAGCGATATATTACTGCCGGATTGGCATAATTCTCTGAGGGTAGTACCTCGTTCAAGAATGATACCGTCTTGCCATGGCTGAATGAGCTTTGCAATGGTCGGATGTGGAGCGAGAAGACCATATGCTTGACATTCGATTTGCTCAGACTCACGCAAGTGAAACTCTTTGTAGACGCGGGCTTCATCAACGCTGTATACGACACTGGCCTTTCCAGCAGCTAGGTATCGTAGCATATTTAGGTTCAGGCTGATCTCCTTCAGTTCATTAGGATACTGTTCGCTGGAGGATTGTTCTTCGGAGGGGTGTTCGTGGGAGGGGTGTTCATTGGTTTCGTCGGGCTCGCAGTGATTTGAGACAGTCTTGAATCTCTCAGAATCCTGCCCAAGGTCCTTCCAGCTGCGCTTTCGTGTGAAGCAGCAAAGTAGAATGCAAATAATGGACGTGGCTCGGTCAAGTCGAGAAGCTGTGCAACTGATGTACCTTAGCATGATTGACTGATTCCGCCGATGAAGGCAGTAAAACCACGAGATATTTGGAGGTCGATTCCGTGACAATCGGTAGCCGGGGCCGGCAAAGCTTTGATCCGGACCCGAAAGGTTCCGTGGGGCGTCAATGCTACTATCTACCTACTCTATTCTTATAGGTTCTAGCTAATTATTATTAACTATATACTATTATAAAAATAATTTATAAAGATATAAAGATTAGAGTAGATTAGTATAAAGCTATACTCTTAGAAAACTAGATATATATCTAGTCTAAGAGATCTAAAGAGTTTAATAATAAGTTATAGAATCTCTTAAAGAAAAGAAAATTATTAAAGAAAAGATCTATATATAGATAATAGCTAGACTTATATAATATAATATAATTATATATATATACTACTAGTTTAAATTAGATAAATCTATATATATATATATAAGAATCTAATAGAAGTTAGTAATATAAGAATAGAGTAGATAGATAGTAGTATAGCTAAATAGAATAATAGAGTATATTCTATTATAGAATAAGTTACTACTAAACTCTCTTAGTAGTAATTAAAGAGTATATATATATTATAATAGATATAACTAAGATATTACTATAATAGTAGATTAAGATATATTATAATTTAACTTTAAGAAGTAGAGATAAATCTATATAGATTATAGCTTAATTATATAGTTTAAGTAAGATTATATAATACCTCTATTCTAGTTCTATCTATAAGAATAGAGTTATTAGATAGTAGTATAGTTAGATAGAATAATATAGTATATTCTATTATAGAATAAATTACTACTAAACCCTTTTAGTAGAAATCTAAGAGTATATATATAAAGAGATGCTAATCTATTTAGTATATAACTATTTACTATCTATTATACTACCTTCTAACTAAGTTAGCTAAGATATATATAGATATAATTATATCTAAGACTAGATTCTAATAATTATCCCCTTTCTTTTAGGAAGCTACCCCTAGTAATCTAGATTATTATCTATCTCTATATCTATATTCTAAGTTCTATAAGACCTTAATTATTCTCTATACTTTATCTTAAATATATATAAATACTAGCTAATCTAAGATTTATATAAGTATTTTTCTAATAAACTAGATTTTATCTATTCTAAATTCTTATATAGATAGAATTATCTAATTAGACCTAGTATATTATATAATATAATTAGATAAGTCTAGATACTATCTATATTAAAATCTTTTCTTAGAAATATTCCTTTTCTTAAAAAACTTTATAACTTATTATAGAGTTTTTTAGATTATTAGATATATTATCTAATTCTTATAGATATAGATTTATATAGATTTACTATAATTTACTATAATTTATATAGCTTACTAACTTTTATAATATACATAGCTAATAATAATAATAATCTATAAGAATCTATATAAATTAGTAATAATTATAATATAGTTTTCTAAAACCTTAATACTTAGAAGTAATTAGTATAGAAATAGATACCTTTAAATAATCCTTATCTTATATATATTACTAATATATTAAAAGCTATTAATCTACTCTAATCTAGGCTAGGCTCTAATAATCTAGCTATATATTATTATAGTTATTACTTTCTATTATATACTACTTATAGTAGTACTAATTCTATAACTTATAGTATTTATATAACTAAGAAGTATTATTATTTATAGGTATTTAAATAAGTTTAAAAAACTTTATATAGATTTACCTATATTAGTATAGATTACTACTAGACCTCTAGTAACCTCTACTAATAAGAAGTATAGTACTACTAATTATAATACCTTAGAGAAGGCTTTCTATAAGTTATATATCTATAGTAAGAAGTATATCTAGAAGTATAATTCTAATATAATCTATAAAGTTTTATTAGAATCTACTATAGCTATTATTACTATAATTACTAGATAATATTATTTTTCTTAAATTATTATAGATTCTTACTAATATATATTAATCTCTATAATAATACTAAAATCTCTACTACTTTAGACTTCTTTCTATATACTAGTAATATTAAAATTCCTAGAAAAGATTCTAATAAAAAGACTAAGATTTATTTCTTATATATATCTAAGAGCTATAAATTTAGAGAAGATAGCTCTAATCTAGAAGTTTCTATACTAAAGATATATAGTTCTATACTAATTATTAAATCTTTTTACTAATTTATATAATTCTTAGTATATCTATACTAGTCCATCTCTCTCTATCCTAGTTTCTACTACTCTATAGATTTCTATAGAGGAATTTATAGCTATAAAACGCGCTATATAGAGTTTATAGCATTAGAATAAAAGACTAGAGACCTATATTATAAAGCTCTATACTATACTAAATAAAAATTAGTAGAAGAAATTAGATATAATTATTATAGTAATTAGTTCTTCTACTTCTACTCTAACTTAATTAGTTTAGATCTATACTAATTAGTACTAATATATTTCTTTTATCTAGTATTTTTAGTTTTTAGTTTTAATTTTAAAGTAATCTTACTTTTTCTAGATAGATTAGTATAAGTTTATATAGATTTATATAGATCTTTATATTTTCTTTTAGTTTTCTTAATTTTATCTTTCTTTAATAATAACTTCTTTAATCTCTTTAGTAATCTATACTAATCTATACTAATTAGTACTAATTTTCTATATCTATTTCTCTTAGTAAATTATTTTTCTAAATCTCTTTTTTAGTTAAATTCTTTAAAGTTCTAAGTTTAAACTCTCTAAGGGAGTTCTAAGTTTAAACTTTCTAAGGAAGTTCCTTAATTCCTTAGAATATTTTAAAGATCTATATCTCTTTTATCTTCTTTCTTTTAGATAGCCGTTCTTAGTACTAAACTATACTAAAAAATATTAAATTATTATACTTTAGTATAATTCTCTATAATTCCGCGGCTTCCTTTACTAATTACTACTTATATACTAGTATTACTACTTTACTAATATTTATTATAGATTTCTAAGTATCTTTATTAGAATTATATTCTTTCTAATAAATTTTATATAGCTATATACTATCTTTAGTATATTATTAGCTAAGTATCTACTTAACTTTATAGATATCCGTACCTTCTTATATAAGTATTTTATATAGTATCTATTTAGAATAATCTAGTAATAATAAGATATAAAATAGCTTAAGAAGCGTAATATAGAATATATTATATATCTTTAATATAGAAGGGAGTTTTAACTTATACGCCTAGTTATTAATTATATAATAATAATAATAATAATATTATATAACTAGGTAGAGTAGTACTCTACAGGCCTATGCCTCCTCTAGTCTAAGCCACTATATAAGAAGAAACCCCATAGGGAAAAACTTCCTTATGTCTATAACTACATCTCGTTAAACCTCTATTTCGTCTTAAGTATATAGCTATAGGGTACGCCTATTAGCCTATAGCCTATATTACCGTTATTTTGCCCTTAGGTAGCACGTGTAGGTACGGAGGTTATTAGTTAAGGGCTACCCTTAACTAATAATTAGGGTTCTCCCGGGGTTCTTCTAGTATATATCGGGTTATTACCGGCGTATACCGGGTCTCTTCTAGTATATATTTCCGGGTCTACTAGTACTAGAGGAGTAGTAGATATATAAGTATCTATTAGGAGACGTTCTTAGGGTACTTATTAAGCTATTATACGATATCTAAAGTCTTCGTAACGTAGATAAGCTATTACCGTTATATATAGAGGTTAGGGTATATAGCTAGATAGTAGCATATTATACCTCTCCGGCCGTACGCCTTATACTATAGAGACACATTAGGAACACCTCTCTTATAGAGATAGTATAGAAGTCCCATGGCGCCCGTTCGGGCTTAGATAAGTATAGATACTTAGGCTTTCGTTAGCCCTTTATATATCTATTTACTCAGTTCCTTCTATAGCCCTTAAATCTACTCTAGGTACCTATCCTACTAGGAGGTCTAGTAGGCACGGAGTGCCTCTTTCTACTTATCTTAAGTCCACGACCGTATATTTTTTATAAGTTCTTAAAGGCTCTACTAGTCTAGGAGAGCGTCTAGGTTATCTCGGACTTCTTATACTACTTAGCTAGAGTCGGCTTCTATTAAGCACCTATACCGTATTCGATTCCGGCCTATATATAGGAGTACGCGGTAATATATGCTAATTTATACACGTAGCGCGGCGAAAGTATATTCTACGTTTTCTATACGTTCCTATACTTATTATTTAGTAAAGTATACTACCCTCTATATCTAGTAGAAGTTATATATACTTATAACGTCTGTCTCGCGTCGTAGTAGTACCGTGTTAGTAGCTTTATATACGCCTAATATAAGACGGAGTATACGGTTCTATATAGATTCGAGCTTTATTCGCCTAGTCTATATAAGGGCCGTATACTAGTACTCGTGTCCGTACGTGAAGGCGGGTCGTACTATAGATATATATAGCTAGCGTGCCTTATCCCGGGCGGTTCCCTACGTGGAGACTATAATCTATTATATGGCGGCTTCTATCTAGAGGGCCCTAGAGACGGCGTATGCCACTTATGGTCCCTATTTAAGCTTACTATCTAGTATAACTCCGAGCGCGCGCATGCTTTATACTAGTAGTTCATTAAATACGTTGATTCGGGGGCGTTATTCGCCTTCCCTAGTTACCTATTTCCCTTAACGATTAATAAAGTATATAAGCTAGTATTTCTCTAGGGCGAACTTTGCTCTATGGCGTTTTACCTACTAGAGGCACCTCTCGTGGTTCTATTCTAGTCGTCTATACGTTCGGTTGGTATTATTATTAATGGCTAGGAGGTATATATTATCGGCGTATCCGACTACCTCTATATACTTTATTCCTTAAAGAAGGTCTACTATAAAGAAGAGGAATAGGATTAGAGAGATAGTACTCCCTTATAGGATGCCGTATACCGTCTCTTTATATTCGCTCTAGTACCTAGGGATATGTATCTAAGTTATTCTTCCTATAAGGAATAACTATATAAAGCGTGTAATCTATTCTAGTATTCGTCTTATC